ATGATTATATGAATATTTAACTCCACCACCCCCAAATGTTATCAACAACAACAGTACAAGTTTTCTAAGTGTGCTAGACATGTGTACACATTTAATTCTCCCTACGTCTCTACAAAGTAAATCTATTATTGGGATTATCACCATTACAGATGGGTAAACTGACACACAGAGACCAAATAGCTCATACCAGATCAGTTAGCTGGTAAGTGCACACAGAACTCAGCAACAGAGTACATGTTCTTTACTGCTACACTCTGTGATCTGAAATACAACTCAAAAAATACAGTTTTCTATCACTATAAATTATAATTTAAAGGTAAAAGTTGTGGTCACTCCATGGGATCTAGAATATTCTTGGCTACAAGGCTGATTACATATTACTGGGCACACCCTAATTTTGGTTGGGGTGATAGTTTCCCAGAGATGTCTACATCCTAACCCCAGGAACCTATAAACACGTTACCTTACATGGTAAATATGAATTAAGGTTGTAAATAGAATTGAAGCTGCTAACCCAGCTAACTTTGGGATGGAAAGATAATCCTGGATTACCTGGGTAGGCCCAATGTAAATATAACAGCCCTTGTAAGTGGAAGAGGGAGGTAGAAAAGAGAGAACAAGATTTATGGCAGCCTGGCACCACTGACTTTGAAGCTGGAGGGACAGGGCCCCGAGCCAATGGCTTCTAGAAGCTGGAAAAACAGCTGGTTTTCCCCTGGAACCTCCAGAAGATAGCTGCCCTTCCCATACTTTGATTCGAGCCAAGTGAGACCTACTTCAGATTTCTGGCCTCTAGAACTTTCAGATAATAAATCTGTGTTGTATTAAATTTGTGGTAATTTGTTTCTGCAGCGATAGGAAAACTCATACAGTTGGATTGTTTTTCTGAGTTCTGGTCATGTGAACAGTAACACCTCCCAAGAAAACAGTACCCAGTGTTTTCTTTCTCTGCTTCTGCCAAAGAAAGACTTGACCTAGATTCTGATTCCCCTTTTCTGTCTTCACCTTCATCTTCCTCAAAGCATCAATGTGGCAACACAGGTATACTGGAGTACTGACTCAGCAGTGTTATGGGATGAAAAGGTTATTTTAAATAATGGCCTATACAGATTTCTTCTGGCTCAACTTCAGTACAGTGGCTCTAGCCTCCAGAGTTCAAAACATCTTCTCTACAGAAACCATGGGTAGAGCAAACATATGTAAATGCACAGAGGCTCCTCTCATTAAACTGCTTTGGTGGAAGGATAATGAATATTTTCAGTCTTAAGGAATTTACTTTTCTCTTTATGCTGATTTTTTGTTTTAGACTTCTTCCCTTTGAAGGCCATTTCTGTTTCACTTTTAAAACCGTTATCAGGTCTACCAGTAAGCCCAACCTGACCTTTATTTTCATCGGATAATTAAGATCATGCCAGGATGGAACTTGTTCTCTGCAGATGATGCTTTGTTCTTAACAATGTTTACAGAGGGCAGAATTTTCCTGGCACTGGTTCCCTGGAGTGCTCTTTTGGGTCAGTTCCACTACTGGGGCAGAACTTTGTGATTTTGCAGAAGATCTGACTTCTCCCTCCTCCACAGTCCTTATCAGTTGATGAAATATTACAGACTCAGGCCAAGAGGCCTGGCTTGGGTTCCAGTCCAGATTTGAAGACCAACTGCTACCAGCCAGGTAGTGTCAAGAACAGCACACTGCTCTCATTAACATTTAACTGCTTGGCTTAAATGTCACCTCAGAGAAATCTGACACCTCACCTCTTTGGCATTAGTTAGGGCGTCATGATTTATATTGCAATTATTGATTCCACCCATCCATTTCTTCCACATACTGCACCTCATTCCCTTCCTATCTGATCAACAGGTATCTATTTACACCTACCATTCATCAGGCACTTTGCTTAGCACTGTACATACAGTGGGGAGCAACTATAAAGAAATTCCTTCCCTCATGGAGTTCCCATTTTAATGGTAAACAAAAATATAGTTTCACTAAACACACAAGTAAATGTCCATATTTCAAAAGGTACACTGAACTCATAGTCCAAATAATGGCGGCAGCAGCGACTACAAAAGTCTTCCAAACTACTAAGAAAGAAATAAGAATATGGACAAATAAAAATAAAAGGAAAGAATGGAATAGGTATGGTATTATATATAATAGGATCAGGACAAAAGGGTGGTACAGTTATATTTGGGATGGATATTAAAAAGAGGAGTCTGTAATTAGAGAATAAGAAATCCACAGTCTTTTTTTTTTGAATTTTGAATGAAGATAGTGGAAAGGGTTAAGTGCTCAGCTAGAAAAAGAGAGAAGTCCAATTATCTATGGAACAAATTCTCAGATCTTCAAATCCCAGTTCCATTCTTTCCAGTCTCCATAAATGATGTTGCTTGAGCCTTGAGGGTCATGAACTGTAAGTTGAAGATATGTTCTGTCTCATGCATTTGCTGAGAACTTAAAAAGAGAATATTCAAGAAAGTCCATAGTACTGTTTTTGGATCTCAACATGAAACCTGAGTAGACAAATCACAAATAGGACTGTGGAGTGAAACTTAGCCCTGAAAAACATTCTTGTTTTTCAATAACACTCTTCAATGACGCCTACACCTTGGTTTCTCCCATCCAAGTACTAACTAGGCCTGACCCTGCTTAGCTTCCAAGAGCAGATAAGACAAGGCTTGTTCAGAGTGCTATGGCGGTAGACGTACATCTTGGTTTCTAACACCATTCTCCAATAAAAGGAACCAGGGCTCTTTGGAGAAATGGCCAACCTAGGCCTGGAGCAGGAAATATACAAGACCAGCCTGAAGCATTCTGTGTTACCAGAAAGTAAGAAGCACTAAAAACAAAAAACAAAACAAAACAAAAAATATATATATAGCAATGGGGGTATGTCAGAGGATACAGAAACCACTAGAACTCCCAGTGGCCAAAGCTGGAAGCATTTCAGTACTAAAATAAATAAAATCACATTGAACTATAAATCCAAAGTATAAAATAAATATTCATAAGCCCATACTGATATAGGATCTAGAGAAAACATTAAAAAAAATCAGTTAAGGGACATTCAATAAAATACTTCATCAGTACTCCTCAAACTTGACAAGGTAATAAAAAACAAGGGAAGTCTGAGGAACTGTGACAGCTAAGAGGAGCCTAAGGAGGCAGGGCTGCTAAATGTAATATAGTATCCTGGATGAGATCCTGAAATAAAAAAGGACATCAGGTAAAAATGAAGGAAATTCGAATAAAATATGGAGTTCTAAATAAAATATTTAGTTCATAATAATAACATACCAATATTTCATTAATTATGACACATGTATCATACATACTAACAAAATATTAATAAAAGGAGAAGGTGGATGTGGTATATATGGGACATATATACCCCCATACTATCTTCACAATATTTCCTCAAATCTACTATCATAGAATAACTAAGTTTATTTGAAAAAAAGAAAAGAAAAGAAAAGAAAACATTCTTGCAATGCCAGACCTTGTGGCATCCCGGGGAACAACACAGAAAAGGTCTATGCACACTCCCAAACTCTTCCCCCTAGGAGTGAGGGTTAGAAGAGACACTGATTAGATTTACCTGAAGTCTGAACGAGAGGTTTTTCTGCCCATTCATCTAAGCCCGTGTTTGCCTCTTGGTTATTTCTTCCCTACACATCCAAACTGCGGGTGTATTGTTTCTATTTTGATCACTGAATAAGAATAGCAGAGTAAAACCATTTTCTCTGTTTTTCATTAGTGACAATTCTAAAGTCAGTCTTTTTTAATTTGAAATTTAGGATCGTCAGCGAAACACCCCACTTTCCCAACAGTTCAGTGACAATTCCTCCAGCCTGTCTCTCTGTTGTCCTTTACCATTACTGCATTTTCCCCCCCTCTGTGTGTTCAACATGATACCAACTTCAAAACTGCAGAATGGTTTTATTGTGAAGCCTCGATTCCTGGTTTGATTTTCTATAGCATAGGTCAGCACATGCCCCTTCACTGGGACAACTTGCACCTTCCTCCCCCATTAAGGTACAAAGCTCACACCACGTTGGGTTCTGCGATACTCTCTTGTGCAGCAAGAGCGTGCGTGAGGAAAAAGTCATTGTATTTTGGTATTAGACGCTCATCCGGCGGCTTATGTTAAATATTGCCTGGGCTTGGATAGCAACAATAATAACCTCTTCTATTAAAAAGAGAGAGAGAGAGAGAGAAGGAAAAACGAAAAACAATAGAAAAGGGGGTCTTCACTGCCTAAGTGCCTAAGATCTAGTTCGATTTCCTTCATTTTCCTAAAAAGTTAACGCGAAGGAAACAAAATAATAGGAAACGTTCCCATGAACGTTTGAACGTTCAGTGAGATTTGAAATCTCATGAGCTCAGAATCTGCGAAAATCCTGTCTGGAACCACCCCGGTGAGATGGGCTTTGGGACGTCCCCCCGCTCCTGGTTCATTCAGCTTCAGCCTCTTTCTAACAATCCCTGGGGGGCACGTCCCCCGGGGACACAGCGTCCCTAACTGGATAGAGACGTGCAGGTGGAGAGGCTACCAGTACTGCGGGCTCCCCCCCCCCCGGCCCCCTGCCCGCCCCACCAGCGCGCCGCCTCCCGTCCTCGAAGCGAGGCAGCCCCAACCGTGCCCCGTCCGCTGGTACTTGGCGGGGGGCCGCCCCCCCCCCCCCCGTGATGCCACCTTGAGGTCTCAGCATCTTAGAGGAGGACCGGTCCTAGTGAGTTGTGCATTCAGTTCGCGTGCCTGCGTCTTTGAAAACTTACCCCAACTTTGAAAGAAGGTCAGACTGTGGCCTCTTTTCATCTTCTCTAACCCGAATGGACACAATACGATAAACCGATGGACCCCGCGCCGCCCCCCACGCCCGCCCGCACCCCGATTCCCGCTCGGGCGCCCGGGCCGCGGGGACAGCGCTCGGCGGGCGCGGGGGCCGCAGGTCGGGGTGCGGCCGGGTGGGGGAGGCGTGGGGGTACCCCAGCAACTTACAGCCCAGCGCGACCACCAGGTAGCGCAGCAGCAGCAGGAGGAGGCGGTGGCGGCTCCTCCTCGCCATCTTCGCGGGGTCCGAGCTGGAGGCTCCTCGGAGGCGGGGAGGCCGGGCGGGGGCCCCTGAACTTCTGGGGGCGGGAGCGGAGGAGAGACGCGGGAGGGGGGTCGGTGCCCGGCCGGGGGGGGGCAGCCTGGGGGCAGGTGTGGCCTGCCCGAGGGCTGGGAAGGGGGAGCGCGGGGGTCTGGGCTGTTCCCTCCTGGGGGGCGGGCTGGGGCGGGCTGGGACGGGGTGGGGCGGGGTGGGGGGGAGGGCGGAGGATGCAGGCGAGGTGTGGGCTGGGTCCTAATGAGGGCGCCGGAGGAGGCGAGCGGCGGAAGGGAAGCCCCGGGGGCGCCCCCGCCCCTGCGCCGCGGGCCCCGAGCGGCTTTGTGTCTGGCGGGGCGCGGGGCTGCCAGCTGTCCCCGGGGCGAGGAGCCCGGGCGCGCGGGCTGCGGGGGCCGCGGGGGGGCAGCTCCGCCCGCCTCGCTCCAACTCCTCTCCTCCTTCCCCCTGGCACAAAACTTTCTGGGTTTTCAGCCTAGGGGGGTGGAGATTTTTGGAAAATTTCTGGCCAACTGGCGAAGCTGCGGGGGGAGGCGCTGGGGGGGGGGAGATGGGGTTCGCCGGCTCCGCCTTGGGCGCGGGAGGGAAGAAGAGAAAGCCATGGAGACTCGCGCCGGAGGGCAGGGCTCGGATTCCGGCCGCAGCCTGGGCCCCTCCTCTGCGCGAGCTCTTTGCTGCTCCGAGAGTCAAGGTGCGTTTTGCTGCTCTTTGCTTTTCGCGTGTCCGAGTTGGAAGTTCATCCAGCGGCGTGAAATATTTATCACGTCTCTTTCCAGTTACATAACTGCTGCCTGTGGAGTTCTCCACGTGTTAAAACTCCACAGCTGCCCTTTGTCAGGTTTATTTTTGGTCTGCTGTGCTTTTAAAAGGGAAACCCATTATGAATGCTCCGTTGCCTGCTTTAAAAGTGACCCACACTTCGACTTGCACACACTCCAAGGGCTAAACAGGCAATTTTTGTTATTTGCTCCTAGGCACCGAAAATGTCTGGTGCATTCAAGAATAGTGACAGGTCCGGGAAAAGACCATTCCCAAGAGAAGAAATTGCTATGCATCAGGCTTCTTTTTAAATTATTATTATTATTTTTTAAAAGGCAGACTAATGGATAAAGGACTGAATAGAAGACAGTTGATTTAGGGGGGAGCACATGAAGAATTCAGCTCACTGGACAAAGGCGACCAGAGTTGAGATATGCAGAGCTGTGAGGAAGGAATGAGACATCCCTGCTGTTTCCTTGGTGACAGTGATGGAAGCTTGATGCCCAAGGCAGGGAGGGGCCGAGGACCCGGGAAGTCAAAATGGCCAAAACGTTAGAGCCATACTCCAGTCAAGCAAGGAGAAGGGACACACAAATTTAAACAATTTTCTGGGCAGGAACCAGGAAAATGGAATGCTTTACGAGAGAAGTTGTTGGCGTTCTCTTTTCTCATTCTTGCCGCTATATATCTCTTTTGCTCCTCCCTAAAGATACACACATTAAAAAGGGGGTAATTTTTTATTATTATTCCGTGACATCGTATGTGAATAATTGGTTCACTCCATCATTTGTCATCCAGTTAAAGCATTTGTCAAATAGCTACATTGTGCTGGATGCTGGTGTACAATGTTGAACAAGATTGAGTCTTTGCTGGTAATGACCTCCTAGTCTTGAGAGAGAGAAAGAGAGAGAGTCCCATCTGGAAAGACCTCTAATACCACATGATAAGTGTTGTGGGAGAACAGGAAAAAGTAACAGCAGTTTTTATTGAGTGCTTTCTCAGTGGTGGAGTCTGGATAGTGCTAATCTAATCCCCCAAGAACTCTGTAAGGGAGAGAAATATTATTCTCACTTTGCAGATGAGAAAACGGGGCTGAGAGATTCTAATGGCCTGTTCAAGGTCAAGGATAAGGGGATGTTCCTCTGTTGGAGGGTGTGCTTCATTAGGCATGGAAAGTTACAGATTTTGGAAGGCACAAGATGAGCAAAGGACATTCTACACAGAGGGAAGAGCAGGATCAAAAGCTGGGAGATCTAAAAATTATGGCTAATGTACCTAAAGGTAGAGCAATGTTCTACAGTGCCAGCTTATATGTAGGATTGGTACAGAGGAGGTGGCAAGACCTGAAAAGGGGATTCGATTATGAGGGTCATTCAGTGCCATACTACAGACTCTAGACCTTATTCTGGAGTTAACTTCTGAAAACTCCAGGGTAGGTTAAAAAAAAAAAAAGAAGATGAAGAAAAAGAAAATCCATGTTTTAGAATTGTGCTGTGAAATATGGTAGCCTCTAGATCCATGTGGCTATGTAGATTTGAATTCAGTTAAATTTAAAATTCAGTTCTCTAGTCACACTAGCCATATTTGATGTTCTCAATAGCAGCATAGAAAAAAATCAAAATTATGGAGGCAGCAAAAAATTCAGTGGTTTCCAGGAATTAGGGGAAACAGAGGGATGTATAGGTGGAATAGAGAATTTTTAGGATAGTGAAACTACTCTAATATTATACTACAGTAGTGAATACATGTCAATATATATTTGTCCAAACCCATAGGGTATACAACATCGGGAGTGAGCTATAATGTAAACTGCAGACTCTGGGTGATTATGATGTGTCGATGTAGGTTTACAAATTTAACAAACATACCATTCTGATAATGGGGGAGGATGTATGGGAAGTCTCTAACCTTCTGCTTCATTTTGCTGTGAACCTAAAACTGCTCTAAAAAAAAAAAAAGCAAAATGCAGTTACAAAATTAAAACAAAAGAAGACCTAGAGAAAGAACACAGACAGGAGCAGTCCGAAAGTGTGAGAGAAATGGAAGAGAAAGAGGAGCAAAGGTGGAGGTGTCTCCAGCATCACCTGCCAAAAAGGGGATGGAGAATTTCTCAGGCAGTTAGCAACTATAAGGGCATTGACCACTTGGACAATAGAGAAAGCAAGCCTCCAAAAAACTTGTAGAAAAAAACTTTAGAGACATGTGTTCTGTACTTAATGAGGTATAAAACTAGTACATTAAGATAAACACAAATAATGAAATGCTTACAAACACCAGCCTGATGATGAAAGGAATAGCGATAGTTAATACTACTTCATTGGCAAGTGGTTGGGAGTTGGTTTCGTGTTTGTTCTGCTAGTAGGAATCCCTGCCCCAGGCAGCATGGGGCAGCTTGTAGGGAGGAGTAGAGAGGAAATAAAGGGAGTGCCTCCAACTGGCTTCTACTCTCTGTGATCATATTGGGCTCCCTCTCTTTCCATATGTTGCAATCATTCTGCCACTATAAACAGTTTTGTCAGGTCAACATAAATGGGGATTTGGTACTTTAGGACATCGTACCATTTTTAAAATTCTTTCCATCCACTCCAATTCTGAATTCAAGGTAATGTTGAGGAGGTGTCAAGGCACATTTCCTAAAACAAGCAATGGAGAGAAGGGCTGGGTTTAAATTGAGGGACTTCTCACAACACCTCAGATTTGGTATTTCTGTGTTGGATGGGTTATTTTTTTCATGGGTGTGGAGAAGGTGCTGGAAAGTGTGCCTACACTCTGCAATTTAGAGAAAAGAAAAAAAAAGTCTTTCATTTCCAGAACCACATAAATTCCCAAGTGTCTCTCCCAGAAATGTTAAGCTATGGATAGAATTTAAGGTCTTTCACTAATGGGATCCTCATTACTTCTCCCTCATTATTATCTCCTCAGATAATTTTCTGGAATAATCCTCATTTCAACATTTCATTCTGATAACACCCACAAGCATACTCATGGCTTGTGCTCAAACCACATCCCTCTCCAGCCAAATAAACCTATTCAGAGAAACTCACAGTGTCTCCAGCATATAGCCTTCATTACTCTCCCAAAGTGACATCTTCCTTCAGTTATGTTATAACAAAACTTTCTTCCAAGAAAAACAAAAACAAAACAAATGAACAACAACAAAAAAAAAACCCTCCATTAGACCTGGTTCTAATTACTACAAGCAGGAATATCTTTCTTTCACATTCTTTGCTCTCAAATGACTTAACAACCCTACAGAGGTCCTATGTGCCAAATAAGTGAAGTTCATCAGCAATCAGTAAATTATTAATACTCTCTTTTTTAAAAGCACATTTATTATCAACTCAATGGTTGGCTTCTTTGTTGAGTGATAATTAGCAATTTCATAAAGAATTAGATAATGTAAAAATGATTTTTTGTACATGAAATTTACATGGGGAAGAGCTAGCTAGCATCTAACCAACATTTGCTAGAGTCAACAAAGAATGGACAGGCACAAGTTAGTCTATAACCATGGAATTGTGACAACTTGAGAACTTAGAGATACTTCACAACTGCATTCCCTCCTCCATTCTCCTTTTTCTTGTGTCACAGTTAAAGATGATAGATAATGAGGGCTCCTGGGAGGCTCAGTGAGTTAAGCATCTGACTTTGGCTCAGGTCATGATTTTAGGATCCTGGCATTGAGCCACATATCAGGCTCCCCACACAGCAAAGAGTCTGCTTCCCCTACTCCCTCTGCCCCTCCCCCTGCTCTCTCTCTCTCTCTCTCTCTCTCTCTCTCTCTCTCTCAAATAATAATCTTTAAAAAAAGGATGATAGATAATGAGACCCAAAGGGTGAAATGACTTACTCAAGATCACATGGCAAGAAGAAACAACCAAGCCTGGGGTGAACACTCATGACCTTTTTTGATGCAGCCCCCAAAACAGCATGGATCTTTCTGCATTGGCTTGGAACAGGTTTGCGTTTCTGCATACAACTTGACCCAAGTCATTACCTGATTTCTCCCCATGAACTCCTTGCCTGGAACGACTACACTTCATATGTGTCCTTAATTGAAGAGTGAGTGGGGAAGGTAAGAAGTCTCCATTGAGTTACAGGGAGCTCTGCCATCTAATTCAACATATTGGATCTGGGGCAATAGAGCCCAGATGAGAGGATACTGAAAGAATTTGGGCAAGGTTCAGTGATTCTTCCTTTGGTCTCTGCTCTCCAGTATCCTAAAGATAGTGATAATGTATTAATTGTTAACATTTATTAAGCACTACTTATGTCTGACATTGTGCAAAGCACTTCATAAATGTTATCTAATAAGCAACTTTGTGAAGTG